TTAGAACACTTCTGACTCCTCCCAAATCATGGTTCATATTCCATCTAGGTCCCTACTGTGTATTCACACAAGAAAAGTTTTGAAGATGGCGGAAATGAGGGCAGGAAACCTATATTCATCTGCTATATTCCATCATTTTACATATATTATCTCATTTGGTAGAGATTATTATTCTCATTTTACAGATAAGGAAACTGAGGCACAGAACTTCAATAATTTGTGTAATGTCATGCAAAAGTGGCTGAGGGTGAATTTGAACTGAGAGTCTTATTTTAAAAGGTGTTTACTTTTTAAAAGCTAAACTTGAGCCACCTTTTCTGAGGTTGCTGTTATTCCTCTTCAGGGAGAGAGGAAGGAGGAAGTGGTTTAGACAAGACTTCTGGAAAACAGTAGTCATCACGTAATGAGATCAGCAGTCTGAAAGCCTAATGTGCGAGATTGAGGAGGCGGGTTATGGGCAGCCCTGACAGGCAAACAACTGGTGTTCAAGGCCAGGTGTCAACACAGGCAAGAAATGGGGCTTGAGGCCAGGATGCCCAGCCAGACTTTTTTCACCACTGAGCCTTTGCCCAGGGCACCACAGCAAAAGCCATATTTACATGGTACTGATTCTTCCCTTTTCAATAAACACAGCATCTATGAAGCTGTTTATGGTTTCCTAAATTAATTCCATTGCTAATATGGCCTAAATGGTGAGTGTACTCATCCTCAAACATTATCAGTGGTTCTGAAAGTCTCCTTTGGCTCCACCAGGCACAGAGAGCGCCGGAATACTGACCTAGTTTGCAACATTTGGAGATGATGTCTTAACTTCAGCAAATTCAGTTTACCAGACTTCTGCCAATAGACAATTCAGGCATGTTAAGCCAGAGACTTTGGACAGAGCTGAGCTCTATTCCTGGTTCTATCATTTCTACTTATCAGGTTTGGGGGACCGTAATGAATTTCTCTGTACCCTCAGGTGACTCACCTGTTAAAAATGGGATAAGAATTTCTTCTTCATTGGTTGTAAGGGAAACTCAAAGATGTGTAAACCTAGGCCTTCATTAAGTGCTCTAGATGGTAACTTTTGAAGCTATTGTTGATACAGGTTTTCTGTTGTGCATAGAATACACAAAGCCAGATTCTGCTACTGAGAGGCTCACCATGTAATAGAAGAGACAGGCTCATGGGCAGATTAATGAAATTGCGTAGTAAGAACTACAATGACACGTGGACGAGGTAAAGAGGTCTACCCAGAAAGGGGAAAATGAGCTCATCTTGGATAGGGGTGGGGCAAGACAACATCCTGGACATGACAATCAAAGCCATGGGTGGATGCCCAACTTTGATTAACCTGCAGCCACAACTTGGATGGCCAAGATTTAATCAATGAATGCCAGCTACTTGTCTCCTGGGCTCCTTGCTTATTAGCCTTGCTTTGAAAGCAAAAACCTTTCGACTAAAATTGAAGGGCTTTCTTCATGGGGAGCTTCAGATCCTGAAATAAATTGTCTCCAGCCACTGTAAGTTAATAGTAACCCACCTGTAAAAGCTGGAGTTCAGAACATTGGAGGAAATGGTGAAGGAAGAAGTTAAGTACCTACTGTGCATATGTGGGCGATGGCAGGTAGGAATTAATAATTTTGAGAACCTAATATACCCCAGGCACTGCCATGTACTTATTACATTTAATCTTCATAGCCACCCTATGAAGGTTTTATTATCTCTTTACTGACTCAAAGTATTTAAGATGTGTGAACAGGGTTGCATAGTTAAGTAAGTTGTAGAATCACTATTAAAACCCAAAGTTTGTCTGATCCCAAAGCTTATACTGTTTCTACTATACCAAGCAATTTCCCAAACACATTTAAACATGACTGTGCTCCTTCCTTTTCCAATAAACATGGGATTTATAAAGTTGTTTATGGTTTTCTAAGTTAATGCTATTGCCAACATGGCTCAAATGGTGAGTGTATTTTAAGCATAAACACAAGAGGTGCCCTTGTGCACAAGAATCTTTCAACATGTCTGTCATAGATTGATTGCATTAATGGCCCTGATAGTTGGCTTTTTTGTAACCATACTCTTTGCAATATGACTTTGCAGCTTCTCCCATTAGAAGATAGAATCTATTTTATTTCTTTTAAAATCTGGGCTACTCTTGTGACTTGCTTTGGTCAATAGAATATGGTGGAATGATGAGCACCCGTTCTGAGCCTAGGCCTCAAAAGGACCTGTGAGCATGTCCTCTTACTTGGAACCCTGCCAGGCCCGGACCAGCCAGCTGGAGGCATGTGAGAGTCAGATGGAAAAAGGCCCCAATCATTCCAGATGAAGCCATACGAGATCAGACAGCTTCTAGCTGACCTGCTTGTTAGCCGCATACAAACGCATGAGTCCTGTCATGCTTAAGTGCGTCCTGCCAAGATCGGCAGAAGCACTCAGCTAACTGGTAGATGCATAAGAAATAAATACATGCTTGTTATTTTAAGTGACTAATTTTGGAACAGTTTTTAATGCATCAGTAGTTAATGAATATAACAAAAAATAATTTTCTTTTTAATTAGAGGTCAATGAAGGCAAAACATTGATTGTTTTAATAATTAGTCAGTACTTCAACTTTGATTGTTCTCTAGACCTCCTATACAGCTGTCATCTTGGGATCTCCATTTATCATCATCTTAAGAACTCCCTTTACTTTGTTTCCTGAAACTGAGGTCTTCTCCTCTCTTGGTAACTCCTTTGTTTTGATGGAGTACATCCTTTGGGAGTTGCCTGGGAATTGCCTGGGAATGGGTAAGTTTGGAGACTATGCTTTCCTAAAATGTCTTTATTCTATCCTTATACTTAATTTGCAGTTTAACTAAGCTAGAGTTCTAGCTTGGAAATAATTCCTTCAGAATTTTGAGGCACTGTTTCATAGTCTTCTATCTTCCAATGTGGCTGTTGCGAAGTCTGATTCTATTCTGATTCTAGATGCTCATAGGATCACCTCTGTGCCCCAGGGGTCATGAATTTTTAAGAGAATATGCATTAGTGTGGGTCTGTTTTTATTCATTTTACTAAGTACTCACTTGGTCCTTAGTCAAGATATTCATGTTTTAAAGTTCTGGGAAATTTTCTTGATTTATTTCTTGGATAATTGCTTCCTATTTGTTTTCTCTTCCTGTGACTTGTATTACAGCATTTATATGTTAAATTTCCTGGACTGGGTGTCAGTCTTCCCAATGTGTTCCCAATCTATTTCCATTTCTTTGCTTTGCTCTATTTCTGAGGGTGTTTTTTTAATGTTATCTTGCAAACCTTCTGTGAGGTTTATTTTTAAATTTGTGCTCTCAGGTTTACAGTTTTAAAAGCTGCTTTTTTAGGTGTTCTCTATGTGTTCCTTTTATCCTGGCATTGTGTTTCTGCTTTATGGATACACCATCTCCTCTTATCTTACTGAGGGTATTGGTGACTTTATTAGAAAAAGTTTCCTTCTCTAAGCAGTTTCTTTTCTGTCAAGGTACTTTTTCCTGTTTTCTTTAGTCCCTGACTTTAACATTAGATGTTTTCTCCAAATGCCTGGTGCTCCTTGGTGACTGTTCATGTGTGAGAGTAAGCTACAGAAAGCTGACTGAGAGTCCTGGGTGCCTGGTGGGGCTTGAGATGTGATCTTCATTGCAGATTGCTTTGTTGGGCCATTTCCCTGGGGAACCACCATGTTAATATTTTTAGAATTTTCTCTCAGGCTTATAAGATTCCCCAGAAACACTGAGCTTCTGCCTAGAGAACATACGCCTAGTTGCCAGCATTTGAGAGCCAACCTGGGAGAGGCTAGGAAATCTCAACACTCTAAGCATGGTTTCACTTTTTCAGTATGGTTTTCCTTCCTTCCTTCCTTCCTTCCTTCCTTCCTTCCTTCCTTCCTTCCTTCCTTCCTTCCATTTCTTTCTTCCTTCTTTCTCTCTCCTTTTTTCTTTTCTTTTCCTCTCTCCTTCTCTCTCTGTCTTACTCTTCACCCAAACTGGAGTGCAGTGGAGTGATCTTAACTCACTGCAGCCTCGACCTCCCAGGCTTAAATCACCTCAGCCCCCCGAGTATCTGGAACCGCAGGCACACAACACCAGCCTGGCTAATTTTTGTATTTTTTATAGAGACAGGATTTTTCCATATTCCCCAGGCTGTTTAACTCCTGAGCGCAAGCAATCAGCCCTCCTCGACCTCCCAAAGTGCTAGAATTGCAGGCAGGTATCACCATGCCTAGCCCTCAGTGTGGTATTTCTAAGGTCAACTGTGTACTTGTTGTTGCCCTTCAAAGAGAGACTCTCTATCTCCCCATCTCCAGAAAATAAACTTCTGGTCTTTTGCTGAGATTGGGAAAGGGCAGTATTCAGTTACATAGAGTAAGGAAGGGGACCTGGAGTTCTAACTGCTTCTTACATAGACTTTAAGCTTGTCCTAATCTTAGCTTCATCTTCCCCTTCATTTCCCGAATAGCTACTGAGCCTTTTGATGGTTCTGTCACATAAATCTGATTGTCTCTCAGTTTTCCACACTGCAGGCTTAGGAGTCAGCTTTTCCGGATTTTTTCATTCAGTTACTAATCAGCTATCACTTTTCAGCTTCAAATTTTTGTTGCTCTTTCTTCTTTCAATCACCTCAACTCCATTGGTTGATTCCGTTTGGAGATATCACTTTATTTTCTTTTTAGAGGCTTACATGAGGGAATGAAGGTATGTACACTCTCCTCTCTTTAACTAGAAGTCCAGGAGTAGTTCTTGGCTTTAAAAGAACTAACACTTCATTGTATCTCATTTAGTTTGAAAAACATGAACCACACATTACTCATAGAAAATCGAAGACTTTCAAGTTGATGGAAACCCATGTCATTTTTGCTTTTTTAAAAAATGAGTATGAGGCTCCAGCCATCTCAGATACCTTTGACTTTATTCCTGTAAATTGCAGACAGTGTCAGATAAGCAAAGTTCTGTCCCTCTCAGCCTCCCATTCTTTTAAATTAGAGATCTCTGAGTCCATTTCCTTTAGTCTTTTAATGTTAGCCTTTTAATATTTTCCAATAAGTGCTTTCAACTCAGCAATATACATATCATGGTTTCCTCATTATTATTGATCCATCAATAAATATACAAAAACCAGAGGAAGGGTGTGCTCTGAAAAGTCAAAGTAGCAATAACAGTGGTCATTGTACAGTACGAGAATGAACAATGAGCTATTCTTTGAAAACTCAAAGCAAATGATTTACACAAAGGCATACCTATGACATAAAGGTGAATTGACCATGTTATTCTTGTTCTTAAGTACATTTTGCATTTCCAGAGAAGTCAAACGTTTCCTCTTGCCTATTCCTCTGATGTAACAGTATTGAATGAATGTTGGCTACAAAATCGATTCTTGGTCTTGTTATGAATCTCAGTGTAAAACTTTTTGAAAGGTTCTGCTAGAAAAGCCAGTTCTACCAGGCTTGAAATATGGACTTGAAGGTGTCTTTTGTCTCATTCAATTTTGCACTCAGAGCTAAGGGAAGCCGTCAGGAGACATAAAAGATTTACAATTGCAGGAAAAATTACATCTTAAGCTCTTAGGTTGCTTTGCAAATAACTAAATGTTGGCCTCTAACTGTTATAAACAAGACCCAGTTTAATGACTTAGCCCAGTTCACCTGGAAAATCATTGGTGAAAATGACACGTAGTCAAGCTGTGCTTCCACAGTTATGCCCTTGAGGTCAAGGGAGTGAGAACACATCTTATTCCATAAACTTCAGGAAATGTTGCGAGGGTTTGCAAAGACTTGGGAAGCTCTCCATAGACAGTGGCCAAGGAATAGAAGCTCTAGAACTCCCTTATTTCTATCTGAAAAACAGAGGTATATCCAAGTGTGGGACTACAAAAGTAATAAGGGGAAAATGATATTTAATTCTAAAATAAAACTGAAAATAATCTCCTGTCTCAGCCTATTTGTTGGGAATGTCTAGAAGGGGTGGCTATGACATTTGTGTCACTATCCCTGTCTCCCAGGGGGACAGGTAGAGGCTGGTGTAAGCATTCTGAACCTTGTCCCAGAGTGGCTTGCTGCATTTCGGTTAAAGAGCTTGAGTGAGTCTGTCTGGGCCTCTGGCAGACCCAGGAAATCTCTGGGAAAACAAGGGGCACTTGAACACTAGTGGCAGTAACAACACATAGTGGCTTAATGTCCAGTTTCTTTCAAGTTGAAAAGAAAATAAGAAGAAAGCCAGACCACTGAATATGGAACTGGTCAGTGATGTTCACAGAAGAGAAAGGAAGTTTTTCAAGATTATGGGGCGAAACGAAGGGGGGTGGGTGAAGAGGGTAGACAGAGGAGGAGGAGCAGAGGCTGGGAGCAGAGGCTGGGAATAGTGCAGGAAGTTGGTATCTCTCCTTTAAAGATATTCTTCTGTCTAAGTGCAGCCCTGATTTACTTGGGAGCTTTTCTTTCTGCTTTGTGGTCTGAGAAGCATTGCCTGTTAAGCATATAAGTTTAGGTAACAAATGACTTTTTGTGGGGGCCTAAGAAAGAAGATACTATTTAATAGGACCCTTACTTTATAGATGCAATGGCTTCTATTACAAGCAGGCTTTGGAAGTTCTAGGACCAATCGGACAACCCGACGGATGAATAAATGCCACAATGGACTTGCAAAGTGGGAGAAAATATGGGGTTAGAGGATAAAGCCAGGACTCTCTTGTTTGGTCATAAACTTGCCTATCTGGTGATAAGATTCCAACGATGGGAATCCTTGTAACCTTTCGAGGGACTCCCCAGGCACTTAACTCCTCCTAAATAGCAACTGCATCAAGAACAGACACTCGTGTGTTATTTACAAATACAGCCATAAAAATGTCAAACAGGATCTACACTGCATCCTCTTCTCCCCTTGCCAATCTCTTTCATTTCCACTGGCTCCTCATCTTATTATAAGACATCGAAAGGCACTTCCATATTGCTTTTGGAAATCACTAATAGGGCCAGCATCTATGACATAGGGCCCCAGGACATGCAAACTTAATGTGACTTTGCAGGAGAGAACAGATGGCCATTAAACCATAAAAGAGGCTGAAGCTCCTCAGCTTACAATTCTGATTCCAAGACAGGATAGAAAACCTTTGGACAGCGTCAGAAACAAAACAGTGCTGCCTTCCTTGATCTTCCATGAGATTTGGCTGAGTAGGTCTGAGTGGGAACTCAGGGTCTCTGAGATAAAGATTTCAAAAGAATCTTCTTTACCATTCTCAGCTCTTCCTAATAAGTAGTAGAGACCCAGACAGTGCTGGTTAGAAACTGAAGGAACACAGCACAAAATATTAAGATGGAAGAAGTACAGATGTTTATTATGAATCAGTTTTAACCCTTTTGTGCTTCTGATAAAGTAACTTTAAAAAATTATACTGATCAAAGGACCTCCAGGGTTTAATATTTCAAAAACACAGATAAATAGTTTACTACAGATAAATAGCTTCACCCTTTGGGTGTCTCCCAAAAGCATCTGAAAAATTTCCAGGAGGGTCTGTTTAAGCAGATGTGTAACCAGTACATCCCACCCCCCTACCTCACTGTAAAGCAATGCCCAGGGATTGGGCTGCTAGAAGGGCAAAATGGACCCATTCAAATTTCCTTCCAGGGACCAGGCCCTCTTAGCCATGGGGAATGTCCTTAGCTGATGGGGGAAAGGTTGGGGATCAGGACTACGTACGTGTGGCTTGTGTTAGAAGCCATCCATAGCACACCCAAGAAATGAAAGGCCTCCATGTGGGAACTGGAACGGTCAAATTCTTGCTGATTATTAATTGGACCCTAATTTCAGAAAGCAATGCTGTTTTCAAAAATTGGACCTGACTTTAAAGAACAAAACACAAAAAAACAATAAGGAGTAGAAAATTTTATGCTAAAAAAAAAATTCCCAATGAAACAATCAGTAGCACATTGCATCTGTTAAGTGTCCCAGCTCCCTGTAATGGTTATGTTTCCCATGGTTGTTTCTTTCCAAGACAATGGCATAGGTGTTACACCCCAATCTTCATGTCCACGTTCTGCAGGTTCCTCGTCTCATCAGCTGTCATAAACTGGTCTGGAGTTTCTGAGGACTCCTTGTTCACCAAATGCACCATTTCCTGAGACTTGCTGGCCTCTCCATTGAGTCCACTTGACTTTCTGTCCTCCACAGCTCCATTGCCATTGTTGATCACTAGCTTTTTCTTCTGCCCGCACCTAATAATGTAAAAAAAAAAAAATGTATCATATGAGAAAGAAGGCACCAGATTATCATCATTACTGAGCACCATTGTGATGATCACTGTGGTTTATGATGGTCTTAGTGTGTGCCAAGTACTGTGCTAGGTGTCTTCTCTACTTTAACTTACTAACTCTTAACAGCCAGCACTTCTCAAAGTGAGGTCCCTGGACCAGCAGCAAGAGCATCATCTTGGAACCTGTTAGAAATACAAATTCTCAGCCCCACCCCAAACCTATTGAATCAGAAACTTTAGGGTTACAGCCTAGGATCTATGGTTTGCACAGTCAAGTTTGCAAATCAGCAACTACAACCCCAGGAAGTTGGTGTTATTATTATCCCCCACTACAACTGAAGAAACCTTGGGGGTCAGAAAATTCACTAACTTCTCCCAAGTAACTCAACAAGTAAGAAAAGAGGATTCAAACCCTGGTCTGTCTGACTCTCAAGTTCTGATTCTCCTTCCATCATACTTTATAATGGAAATGTCTCTTTTAAGCATTTTAGCAGTTTCTGCAGATTTAGATAAACCATCAACATCATGATTGTAAATCATTCTGATTTGTATATTCAAGAAAGTCCCATGACTTCCTCTCCCAGTCAACACTTTGTCAGCCTTGTCAGTGTTATTACTGAATGTACCGAGCAGAATAAAACAACATTTTTCTAGAAGTATAAGGCCATGGTGATGTTTTCCTAACACTGCTTAACTCCCATATAACCCTGATATAGGAAGTTTAATAACAGGACAAATTACTCTCATTACTTTAAGGTTTCTTAAACATTACTTAAGATTCAAATGCAAAAGAAAGTTGCTATGGAAGACCATGACCTTGACCTTTTCCCTGGTTACTGTCCATTGCTTCACCCCACCCAGCCTGATGCAAGGCTTCCTCTTTCCTGTCACACATCACTACTACACATACACGAGTCAGACTATGCTTAGAGGAAGCAAAGTTGCACAGCTTCACAACTACAAGCAAAATGGGGATGAAGGGAAGCAGATTACCTTCTGAATGCCAGATGCTTTACTTGTAATTTTCTGTAATTGTTACAAGAATCTTTCAAAGCAGCTATTGTTCCCATAATACAGCAGTGGCAACTGAGGCCAAAAGGGGTTTAATAACTTGCTCGAGTTCACATAGGGAGTAAGAATGGCAGAGCTGATATTCAAATTCAGGCCTTTATGACCAAAGTCTGGGCTCTGCCTGGCTCTGTCAATGCTGCCAGCCATCTGGAGATTTGGAAACAGTATGAACTCAGAATTGTTCACTTTGCCTCTGGATATTTGGAGTAATAGTGAGAAAGCCTCTATTATTCATGATCATGGACCATTCCCTGCAGGACTGCCAAGGCCATAAATTTTAATCTCTTGTTTGGGGAAATAGAAATTATACCTCTTCAACAGGAGGTAGATTCTGTCTCCTCTGGCAGGAGGTTTAATGAGGGGTTGGGGGAAGGATGCTTGAACCGTGAAACAGATTCTTGGGGACCGGGAATACAGATGGAGTCCAGAAGGATGCGTGGTCAAGAAAAGGGCCTTGGAGGCCTGGTGTACTGGCTAATGCCAGTAGTCCCAGCACTTTGGGAGGCCATGGTGGGTGGATCACTTGAGCCCAGGAGATCGTGATCAGCCCAACATGGAAAACCCAGTCTCTACTCAAAATAAAAAATAAGACAGGTGTGGCATTATGTGCCTGTAGTCCCAGCTACTTGGAAGGCTAAGGTGGGAGGATTACTTGAGTCCAGAAGGTTGAGGCCGCAGTGAGCTGTGTTTGTGCCACTGCACTCTAGCCTGGGTGACAGAATGAGACCCTGTTTCAAAAAAGAAAAAGAGGCTCACACCTGTAATCCCAGCATTTTGGGAGGCCGAGGCAGGCAGATCACTTGAGGTCAGGAGTTTTGAGACCACCTGGCCAACATGGCGAAACCTCGCCTCTACTACAAAAATTCAAAAATCATCAGGGCATGGGGGCATGGTGGCACATGCCTATAAGTCCAACTACTCAGGAGATTGAGGCAGGAGAATTGCTTGAACCTGGGAGGCAGAGGTTGCAGTGAGCCGAGATTGTACTACTGCACTCTAGATTGGGTGACACAGCATGACTCCGTCTCAAAAAAACAAAGAAGAAAGGGGCTTGGAAGGCCTGGTTTTGAGACCTTACTGCTGTGTGATCTGGGGCAACTCACTTAATCTCTCTAGCCTCAGTTTTGCATCAACAATATCAGGTTATTAAGCGTAGCAATATCATAGGATTGTGAAAAGCCCTTGAAACAGAGCATGTCACTAAATAAATGAGTCTATTATTGCTATTATCCTTGCTCTTATGAATGATGTGGGGTAAGGAAACTAAGGTTTGGAATAAGCACTTAGAATAGCATCTGGAGCACAGTAAGCTTTCAGGAGTGCTGTCTATGATTGTTAATATAACAAAAGCCATACAAAATTAATTTTGCATGTTTCTCCTGGCTGCCTCCACCTACCTCGTTATATTTACTATGAAGAGGATTTAAAAGGCTAAAGTAGAATGCTGCTTGTATTATTTCAAATTCTCATGTCCCTGTGTTCTTTGGAGGAAAGGTGTCTAGTTAAAGTAATTCCCATTTGCCTATCCAATGGGTGGTTGAGGGATGTAATGAAAAATTGTGGGAAAATGATTTATGAGCATTAAAAAAATGTGCATGGGAGTGGGTGGGGATTAATGTTGTTCATCTAAACGAAACTGATCTTGACAGTGAATAATGTTTGACCTACTGAACACAGGAATATTGTGCTTGAGGTTTGGCTGGCTTGCATTTCCCTTTGGATTTATGTGTTTCTATCTGCCTGAGTTCTTTCAGGAGGGTAGGATGATTCTCATAAATAACTCATTCCAATATTCAGTGCTCTAGGCATCTAATAAGTACTTTCAAAAGAAATTGTAATTTTTAAGTTCTTCTTAGCTATAGGAATTTAAGAAGGAACACTGGACCTGAAGGGGCTTCAGAGATCATCCAGCCCAGCTTCTTCTTTATGTAAACTGGACACCAAGTCCAAGAAGTCAAGGGTATTGTCCAAAGCCTCACAGCTAGTTATGGTACTTCCAGAATCACAGAATCACAGCTTGGATTTTCTGGGTTTTTGTTGTTGTTGTTGTTTGTTTGTTTGAGACAAAGCCTTGCTCTGTCACCTAGGCTGGGGTACAATGGTGCCATCGCGGCTCACTACTACCTCCACCTCCTGGGTTCAAGCAATTCTCCTGCCTCAGCCTCCCAAGTAGCTGGGATTACAGGTGTGTGCCACCACACCTGGCTAATTTTTGTATTTTTAGTAGAGACAGGGTTTCACCATGTTAGCCAGGATGGTCTCGAACTCCTGACCTCAAATGATTTGCCCACCTCGGCCTCCCAAAGTGCTGGGTTTACAGGTGTGAGACACCACAGCCAGCCACAGCTTGGATTTTCTGACTCTGAAGATCAGAGATCCTCAGGGACCTGTGTCTTACCTTTATCTCCTCTTCCCTTAAATCTCAGGCATTAGCTGAGCACACAGTGTGGAAGGAGGCAGACTGGGACCTCACCAGGAAAGGAAGGGCAGGCCGGCTGGGGTTTAGAAACCAGGTAATGTAACTTTTATGGCATGGCAGAATTTATCTCAAACGATTTAGGTGGGTGGCTTAGCAACTGATCTCATGGCTCTTCTACCTGACAATCCTTAAAGATATTTAGGGATTTATTTTGCATTGTTTTAGAGCTATGCCATCCAATATAGTAGCCACTAGCCACATGTGGCTATTTGAATTTAAACTAATTACAAGTAAATAAAATTAAAAATTCAATTCTTCAGTTGAACTAGCCACAGTTCAAGTGCTCAGTAGCCACAAGTGACTAGTAGTTATATATTGGACAGTGCAGATATATATTGGACAGTTCTAGACAGCAGGATGAAGTTGGGTGAGGTCAGATTACAGGGAGCTAGACTGTAGCATATGAGAAGGAAAACATTGGCCAGGTGCGGTGGCTCACATCTGTTATCCTAGCACTTTGGGAAGCTGAGGCGGGTGGATCATGAGGTCAAGAGTTCAAGACCAGCCTGGTCAATATGGTGAAACCCATCTGGGCATGGCGGAGTGTGCCTGTAGCCCCAGCTACATGAGAGGCTGAGGCAGAAGAATCGCTTAAACCCGGGAGGTGGAGATTGCAGTGAGCTGAGATAGCGCCACTGCATTCCAGCCTGGGTGACAGAGGGAGACTCCAACTCAAAAAAAAAAAAAAAAAAGAGAGAGAAGGAAAACATTTCTAAATTATGGTGATACATAGAGGAGACCTACTGAGCAGAGTACAGGTGACCGCCTGCTGGGGTTTATAGAAAAGATGATTATTCCCATCAAAGTAAACGCTGGTGAACACCTGTTCTGCACAAGCAGCATAGTAAAGTCCTGTTTTTTCTCCTCTTCAGACAAATCCAATAGGTGTTTGTTTGTTTGAGACAGAGTCTCACTCTGTTGCCCAGGCTGTAGTGGCACTATTGTGGCTCACTGCTGCCTCCACCTCCCGGGTTTCAAGTGATTCTCCCACCTCAACCTCCCAAGTGGCTGAGACCACAGGCATGCGCCATTATGCCTGGCTAATTTTTGTATTTTTTTGTGGAGACAGGGTTTCACCATGTTGCCCAGGCTGGTCTTGAACTCCTAGGCTCAAGTAATCCACCCGCCTCAGCTTCCCAAAGTGCTAGGATGACAGGCTTGAGCCACTGCACCTGGCCCAAATAGAGTCTTTACAGGAAATCTTCTCTGGAGCTTCATCTAGTATCTATCAACCCAACTGACTCCTAAAATAATTATGTGCTCTCACAGAGAGGGAATAAAGTATGATTTCCCTTGGAGAGCTGTAATTCAAGGAGTCAGGTGACATGAGGAACAGCAAGGAAAGCCGTTGTGGATGACGGCAGGGGTGGAGAAAGCTAAAAAAGTAATAGAACCCACAAGCCAGCATCTTTAAGACAACGTGACTCACAGATCACTTCATCATGGAAGCCGCTGGGTCCATCCTTGTATGTCAACTTCAGAGACTAATGATTTTCTACTTTTGTCTTTTAACTATAATCTATGTAACAGTGCCTGGCACAGGGAATGTTCTCAATAAATACTAGCCAATTCAAATTCAAGAGGCCAATACTGTCACTGAACCTCAAAATTCTTTTAGAAAAGGGGTGATACTCCTTTCGTTTATTTATTTATTTATTTTTACTCCTTTTGTTTTTTATCTACTCTTTCTCCTTGCCAGGATTGATAGTCACAGAGTCACTCAAAAGATGTTTGCTGAATATTGAGCACCCATTGGAGGCCCCATTTTCAACCAGCCTTTCTTTGATGAAAATAGGATTCTGTATCTCTCTCTCTTAAATGTGACAGTCAAAGCAGAAAAGCCTCAGCCTTTGAAGGGGATTAGAAATGGGTTGACAGCTTTAGAATCACAGGGCCCATTAAGGGGCCTGTGCAGCTGTTAACCACCCTTTAGCTGTGTGGCAAATCTGTTTTCAATTATCAAATCAGGACACAGTAATTTATGGCGTCCACGCAGCTACTTTCCCGGTGAGATACTCGCTGTGCAGGACCCTGTGTGTCCCTGTTTGCCGGTTGCCAGGGTGACGGCTGGTCTTGGGAGGAGGGAGAGGGCAGCAGTGAGGCTCCTTCTCTGCTGTCTGCTGCTGACAAGACACAGGCGATGTGGGAGATACCCAGCCCCAGTGTGTTGACTCCAGCTGCTCTTGGGGACAGCTGAGATGCTTCTCCCGAGGTCTCTCCCATGTAGGTTTCCCTAAATGTCGACAGCATCCGTGCCAGTGTTTCTATGGTGACATGTGCAAAGCTTATGGACTTTGTATGTGAACAAAAGTGGTGCATTCTAGGGCTTGGCAATAAAGGGCTGATTGCAAACAATAGAAAATTCATATTTAATTGAGCAAAAGTAATCCAAGGGAAAACAAGGAAGCCGAAGGGAAGTATAAAGACTCTTTGTAAAGGCTACCCCAAGTCACATTATTTAAATTCAACTAAAAAATGTCTTTCCGTTTAATCATAGGAGGCCTTTTAGACTCTTTTCCTCTCAGTTTTGTTCCTCATACCGTCAGCTATCATAACTACTTTTTAAAATCATGCTGTCAATGGTATAGATAGCAACATAGCTATTTGACTGTTATATGGCAGTTTTATTAACTTGTACCAGTGTAATTATTATAACAATTATAACAGCACCATTCGGTTTTCTCAGATAATTAGAGGCTGTATGGGCTGCCCATGGTGCTGGAATTAGCTGTTGGTTGCCTTCCAAAAACCGGTAAGAAGGAGTCCATAATTCTCTCTAGGTCTTCCCCCAGGCTGAGGGTCATTTTCTCACCCTGTGAGGTGATCTGGGGGTACAATAAAGGTGACCTTGCTTGGAAATAAAGATTCTTTCACCTTACAAGAAACTACCTATAGGGACATTTACAAAAGGTTTAATATTCCTATGAATTATGTCCTGAAGAAACATACTGTATCTTTAAAGTGTCTTGGGTAAGAAATTTAGATTTACACTTTTGGAGTGCCCCAGTTAAAGTTCATTTCCTCTGTTGCTAGAATTAATACTGTTTTATACTTCACTTTAGGTAGCATTATTTCTAGAACCTGTTCAAGTCTTAACCATGTGTGTATATATATATATATATATATATATATATATATATATATATATATCATGTAAATAACTTCCAAACTTATAGGTCTTGGTTCAGGTAGGGAGACAGAGTGGCCTTCAAGAACATAAAAACAGCCCACATGTCAGTTCTAGGGAGGTGACTGTCTTCATTTAGACTTTCCTTAAAAAAGTTCTCTGTTTGATAGACCTCTTAACAGCAAGGAGGCCTATGAAACATCACTCTTCCTGTACTATAACCTGAATCCCTTCAGCTATGATTTCCATAAAATAGAAAGACATATCATTACAAAACACAAACAAGAGCACAAGCCAGAGCCTGCTTCTGGGATGGGTTCTTAAAGGTTCCCTGGGCCTCAGAGAGGGTATAGGGGATGAAGAATCACTGAATCCTTATGCAATATTTGTGCATTGTGAATGTATTCAATAAGTAGTTAACAAATCAATGAATGAGTATACACTTTTCTGTGCCTTCCTGGTGAGATATTTCATAACTTTCATCAGATAGAGTCTGCATGAGGTTTAAACTTAAAAATATGTAAAATCATAAAGGATTCAACCACTACTTAAAAATGATGATCCGAACATCACAGGTGTCTCCATTCTCTAAACTCTGGGGCAGAGAAAGATGTCTTAAGCTTCACCATGCACATGAATCCCCAGAATCTCGTTAGGATGCAGACTCTGCTATAGGAGGTCTGGGCTTGGATCTGAGGTTCTGCATTTCCAACAAACCCCCAGGGTGCCCAGGCTACTGGTTGCAGGGACTACACTCTAAGCAGCAAGGATATAAAGCCCAAATTTAAATGATGCCTTTTGCAAGTTGAAGGCCCCCCAGGACAGCCCCTTACCTTCTTCGACTGTTGACTGCAATGCAAACTGCAAGAATCAAAGCCAAGGCCAAGAGGGATGCCAAGATGATCAGCCATTCTGGTGTGAGTAAATTAAAAGACATGTGTAAGCTTCAGAGACACAGTTTGTAAAAACAAAAATGCACTTTATAATTGACCTAGGTCAAACAAGCACCATAGTCAGCACTGCAGGAGGGTCTAGCCATAGGTCTAGCCAGTAGGCAAGTAATTCTGGAAGAACAATTTGTTGTAAGTATTTGTCCAATAGCCTTCTTGCTTTAATTTTTGTTTTTAATATAGAGTTTTGTTGCCCAGGCTGGAGTGCAATGGCACAATCTTGGCTCACTGCAACCTCCACATCCCAGGTTTAAGTGATTCTCCTGCCTTAGCCTCCCGAGTAGCTGGGATTACTGGCATCTGCCACCACGCCCAGCTAATTTTTTGTATTTTTAGTAGAGATAGGGTTTTACTATGTTGGCCAGGCTGGTCTCAAACTCCTGACCTCAAGCCATCCACCCGCCTCAGCCTCCCAAAGTGGTGGGATTATAGGTGCGAGCCACCGCGCCTGGCTCCTTGATTTAATCTTTTATCATCAGTCAGGATTTTCAAATCCCTCCAGGAGAACTATGTTTCTAAAAAACTACAGGATAACTTGTTGAATCTTGTAGATGCCTTTGGTATAATATTATTAAACAGATAAAAAGAAATGTATGCTTCTTTTGAAAGGAACATTTTTTTCCTGTATAACAGAATCCACCTTACATTGTGTTAAAAAACAAAAATGGAGACAATAAAGGATTGGTTAAATAAATTAGGGCACATCTATTGCATTATGCACTACAATATGAGGAAGAAATATTCAATGATATGGAAGCCACGGTTAACCAGTAGGCAATGTCTACTAAACACTGTGTAAGGTGTAATCATGTTTTGGTATATATTTTACATTTTTAAATGGCGGGAAAGATGTATATTAAAAGTAACCATGGTATTTCTGGATGGTGAGAAAGGTAATAAGTGATTTATATATTCATTATTTTATTTAGTTGTATTTTTTCAAATGTCTTCAGCAATTATGTATCACTTGTGGGTTAATATTCTGCACATTTTGAAATCAGGCTCTCATTGGACTAAAATATGACTTGACAGCTCTACTAAATTCAGTTGCAAAGTGGGTTGTATATGTGTGCAATGAACCAGGGCTTGAGAAAGAAGAAACATGGAAAGTCTCATTATCTGTTTTCTTCTTGAAAATCTTGGTTTACCTCTGAGTTCCTGCTCTGCATACTTTCACCTCACCTTTTCCTGGTTTAGATGAATTTGGAAAGGGAGGTAGAGCCAGAAGGTGGGGAGACTGACAAGAGGGCACCATTTCTGTTCTTCCTCTCTACTCCTGCCCACCGTGGCCCTGGTCTCCAGCCCTGAGATGGCCCACCTGCACTGTCACTGGAGCTGGGAAGAATCTTGCTGCCTGATGACAGCTAAGGCTTCCCCTCTCCCTCCTCCGGGGCAGCCCACCCCTTTCTCTCTGCTCTGTCTTCAGGTATGCTTAGGCAAGCTGGGGCAAAGGAGAAAGGTGTATGCCACGTTCTTCTCTTTCCCCAAGGGAGGCTCAGTTTGGAGACCTCTGAAGAGGAGGGAATTAAAAGGGTAATTTACAACCTTAGGAGAACCCCTCCCTTTAGTAATTCTCCATGACAAATCAATTTTGATTCCAAGCCAAATAAAGAATTTGCAACAAATGCCTTGTCTTGATGCTTAGGAGAACCAGGTGTCCCAGCCTCCTCACTGCACATGTCATCCTTTCTGAAAAGTTTACTCTGTCCACATCAGCAGGCAGTTCCTCGACAAAAAAAAAAAAAAAATGTACCTGGGGAACCAAAAGAAAGTTTTCACTTCATCTGATATAAATGCCTCTTGTAGCCCCTCCCTGTCTGCAACTGTAAGGGGAAAAGTACATGCTTCACCTTGGACCCCAGAAATAAGGGGAAATTGGATTGGGATAAAAAGGACCTAAGTATGACATGGGGTCCTCTGGGTGATCATTCATTTGGGAAGAAAGCTTTCGTAACTAACATGGCACTTCTCTGGGACAGGCCAGGGACAGAGCTGCATATGAGCTCAGCTAGTCTGCAGAACCCAGGAAAAGACTATTCTATCTTTTCCTACCAATAGGCTGTAGTACTCTCACTCATCCTTTAACTTGTGAAGAGGAACAATTGGATTCATACGTTGGGCATTGTGGAGAACGTGCTTTCAAACGGGTCTCTTCTTCCTTGCTGGGACATTCTGAGAAAGTTGCTTTCAGCGTTTTTTTCTGCCTCACAGTTTGAAACTCACCTGGAATTTGGGGTGTCCTTAAAGGACCGGAGGTTGTGTTTGCCCCACCTTCTTGACTCCCATGTGAATGTCCTAAGGGAAAAACAAAACAAAACAAAATCTCTCAACCAAAGTTTGAAATGCATAACTCTGAGTTCCTTGTGGAGCCACGTAAAGGGCTGCTCTCCACATTCTGAATCACTGAGAAGCCATTTATGGATTCAAGCTGCAGACGTTTATAAAGCATTACACAAAAGTAATATATTACTTTTGTAATATATTACTCAGTTTGATTAAGGCTAAGTTTGATTAAGGCTAAGGCTTGGTAATGTTATCCTGCATCAAGGAACATGAGAATTCTCAGCAGCACTGTTGACAGTGTTCAGGACTTTGGGGTCTAGAGCTGGCAACCCTGGATTTCAGTCTTCTTGCTGTCCATTGCTAACTAGCCATATGTGCTGGGTCAATTTACCTTCTCCAAGTCTCCGTTTTCACACTCGTAAGATGGGGATAATAGAATCCCGTTCATCACAATTTTACAGAGGTTTCAGGAAGTACACAGTATTGGTAGTTGTGTGTGGTTGTTATTTTCTATTTTTAATTTAGGATCTTGCTACTCAAAGTGTGGTCCCTGGACCATCAGCACAGGCATGTCTGGGGAGACTACTAGAAATGCAGAATCTTCCACCTCACCCCAAAGCTACCAAATAAGAATCTTCATTTTAACAAGACCCCCAGGGGATTCACATGCTCCAGGAAGCCCAAAGGGAACCTGAAAATCCCATCCAATAGCATCATAGGAGCCAACATAAACACTAAAATATAAAGAGTTTGGGGGCAGTGGCCCTTTCTGACTGTGAAAAATCACCCTATTAGAGTCCCTGCTAATATGTTACTGAAACGCACCTTGTTAGAAGAATCAACATTTTCTACTGCTAGAAAGCAAAATGAGGAAATGAACAAAATGCCTCAAACTGGGAGGAAGTATCACATGACAGACAATCCTCAAGTCAGAACTGGAGGCCGATTCAAATGAGTGAGACACAATGCTTCTAAAAGAAACTTATAAGAAGCCAGGCACAGAGGCTCACGCCTATAATCCCAGCACTTTGGGAGGCTGAAACAAGAGGATCGCTTGAGCCCAGGAGTTTGAAACCAGCCTAGGCAACACAGGGAGATCCTGTCCCTATTAAAAATAAGAATAAATAAGTAAGTACACAAACTTTTTTAAAAAAGAAACTTCTAAGACATCTTGTGGAAAGACTCATCAAAATTAAAGCTTCATGGATTTTAAAACATTCTTCCTCCATTGCTTCAAAACAAAATTCCACAGTGTCCCACCAAAATGAACTTTTTTTTCCCTACCAAATGGAAGCCCACTGCAGAATCCTGAAGATGACCAATGGGTGAAGATAGTGGGGCCTTAAATGAGAGCTTTCCTCAGAGACAAACTTTAGACTGTGCACGCAGAAATCTTGATCACAATGGTTATTTGGGGACAGGATGGCTCTTGTTTATGCAATTTAATGCTTTTGTTAAAACTTAAAAAGGAGCAAAGCAAGTTCCTACCAGACATCTGGCGGTTTCAACACCCCCCATCCTATGTTGACAATGGTCTTTTACTTTACAAACCTCCAAAACAGTCCAACGTCCTTTCCCGACATGCCTTCCAGTGTCCTTGGTGGTTGGCAGGTTTTCACCTGCCCAAGTCATGGGACATTGGCCACCTAAACTGAAAATCTTTGGCCTTGAAAACTCCCCAGGAGGTACAGTCACTCTCACTGGTTTTTTTTCTGACTCACAGAAGCCTTTGATATTTAAAAGTGAGGCCATTAATGGATCCTAATCTCTTTATTTTGATTTTCAAAAAAAAAAAAAAGTGCTCCCAGCAAGAAAAGATCTGGGTGTATGTGCAACAAGACGAAACCTCCTGTTTGAACAATAGACACCTGCTCAGAAGCCAAACAAAAGAGACTGGCTCCCGTCCACCTGATTCTCACTTCAAGCAAAAGCCACAGAGGATGGATGTGAGACAGCAGGCCTTGCCTTGTGCTCTGGATGTCTACAAATCCAGCCAGGGTAGGACTGGCCACAATAGCAAGTTCCACAACGAGAAGCACTTGATATTCCTGTTGGGAGATGAGATGTAATCCGAGACATGTGCATAGAGATCCATTCAATTGTCTTCAATGGTGAGAAAAGCAGTCTAGCATAGTCTAAGCTTCCAAACTTTAATGTGCATATAAACCACCTGGGTGGGAGGCTATCATTAAAATGCAGATCCTGATTCAGTAGGTCTGGGTTGGCCAGGGATTCTGCATTTCCCAAAAGTTCCTAGGTGATGTCCATGCTAATGGTTAAAGAACCACACTCAGAGAGTGGCTGAGGTCTCTTGGTTTAGAGAGCAGACCCTTTAATAATAACTCCCTACTGTTGCAGAGTACTTTCACAATTCTGGTACCCTGTCTTCCTCACAAGAACTCTAGGAAGCAACTGAGGTAGGTGATCTGATCTCCTTTTTACTAACAAGGAAACTGAGTCTAGGAAAGGTTAAGTGCCCTGCCTAAGGTCCCCAGTGAACCTGTGACTTTTGTCTCTATTTCAGAGGCATTTCTAATGAACCTCTACCTTCTAGTGCTCCTCCATAGAGGGTTATTATGGAAGCCATTACGTAACTATCCATCTTCCTATTTGTTTTCAATGTGTAAACATTTAAACCTGATTGTTAGCCTCACTCAAACTTGGGTATAAAAAGGGAGGACAGTAATTGATATGGCTTAAACCATTTACATGCGGGTCACCTGGATTTGTGATGCTCAAGGGGACCACAGTAAGGCAGTACTGGCAGCACCTCCTAGTAGGCCAGTAGTAGAAGTCATTAGTAAATCTACCTCATGTCAGACTTTTGCAGTCTGGGGTAAGGTTTTCAGGGGTGTGATCGGAATCACAACAAACAGGAGTCTATTTAAGAATGCATGACTCGGCCGGGTGTCATAGCTCATGCCTGTAATCCCAGCACTTTGGGAGGCCAAGGTGGGTGGATCATTTAAGGTCAGGAGTTCAAAACCAGCCTGGCCACCATGATGAAACCCCATCTCTACTAAAAATACAAAAATTAGTCCAGCATGGTGGTGAACACCTATAATCCCAGCTATTTGGGAGGCTGAGGCAGGAGAATCACTTGAACCTCGGAGGCAGAGGTTGCAGTGAGCCAAGATCACGCCACTGCATTCCATCCAGCCTGGGAGACAGAGCGAGATTCCATCTCAAAAAAACAAAAACAAAAACAAAACAAAACAAATGCATGCCTGGCAGTAATTATGGTCATTATAGAATGCCTTCTCCAGACTGCTATGAGAAGTAACATGAGACCCCCAGGCTTGAAATGTGACTCCATTACTCCCTGGTCCTGTCAACTCTGCCAAGTTACTTACCCTCTCTGAGCCTTAGTTTCCTCATCTGTAACATGGGAATAATAATAGTACTCACCGATGTCATCACAGAGTTTGTAGGATGACTGAATGAGTTAATACTAGATAAACTCTATGAATTTCCTGATATTGACCTGTTCCTGACCCATAGTAATGGCAGTTCCATTTGGCCCAACCTAATATAGGTAAAGTGTTGAGAAAGATGCTGCTGGCACACAGTCAATTCCCAACAAATACCAGCAATGATATCATGTACCAGGATTATGCTAAATGCTTTATATTTATTCTATCATTTAGCCTTTGAAACAGTGTCCTATGACAATTCTTATTAATCCAAGTTTATTAGTTGAGAAATTTTGTCTCAGACCCTTTAAGCATCTTGCTCAGTTAATAATGCAGAGGGCTGGAATCAAACAGAGGCCATTTTTGCTACAAAACTCATGCTTTTAAATCACTCTGGTGTAGTGCAATGTTAAATTGGGACACTGCCTGAATTCCGCCTGAGGCTTTCAGATGCAAGGCTTTTCTCCAGAGCAGTAGTTCTCAAAGTGCAATCCCTGTCCCAGCAGTGTCAGCATTACCAGAGAACTGATGAGAAATGCAAATGCTTGGGCTCCACCCCAGACCTACTGAATCAGGAACTTTAAGGGTGGGGTCCAACATTGTGATTTAATAAGCTCTCCCTGTAATTGTGATGTATGGTAAGAAGGTTTGAGAACTACTTCTCTGGAGACACTGACTCATACTTCGTTAGTAGTCATCATCAGGCTCAAGGATTATAACAGTAAATGACTGAAGCCGTTTTGAACTCACCAGCTGATTCAGATCCATGAGTGGTATGGGAGTCCCCCCTGGGGTCGAATGCACCTTGGTCTCCTGTAATGAGCAATCAGGAAGGTCAGTACTGCAGGTTTCCACTTATACTCCCATCTGCATTTCCTTACGTTTGTGTTCTTATGCAGCCTATCACAAAGTTAGTCTTTTTAAGGTATTTCAAAAAATGATGGCCAAACGTCCTTGAATGGGTCCACAATATTAATTACTGTTCATTGCTTAATCCACTGATAAATGACCTAGAGCTTTAATCAGAATTAAGGAAACTAGGGCAGCAAAGGCTCGGAAGGATGACCACAGGAAGTTCTGTAGAAACTTGGTTTTGGTAGAAATCCAAGAACTGTGATAAGGAACACGCTAACAAAAATATTGTAATATCTTTGCAGGTCTAAGGTTGAGACTAGACATTGTATATTTTAAATAAGGATGATATGAATTTGATTATGAGAAATGTAATCACTGGAAATGGGCGTACTCTGGTTTAGGTCATGAAACGAGTTTCCTTGGAGGCAAGAAATTAGTATGCAATAAGAAATCTTGGAATTGAATGATGGAAAGATTCAAAGAGAAAGGTCAGCTACTTATTTTCAGAAAAAAAATTGAAAATAAGTAAAAAGGGAAATGGTGAGATAGTAGCTAACATGAATAACGTATATTGGAATATGGATATTATATAAGTTTAAAATAGTATTTTTTAAAAGTTGAATCTGTATTTTCAACATGACTAGTTAATATAATCCTAAGTGCTCAAGGAAGGATTATCACCAGAAAGCTTTTGATTAAGACAAGGTCATGAATTGCTAAAATCTAAATCCATAAAACTCCTTCCCCACCCCCATTTTTCAAAAGTATACTGGAATCTTTTTTTTAATCACAGGATAATGCTTACATAACATGGCTACAGTTATTCATTATGAAGGCACCTTATAAGGAATCTATAGTAACCTAATCATCACCATTTCCTTGATTAGAGAAAGTGGAGGCGGGTGACACATAGTCACTCGTGTAATTATATTGAAGAGACAGATTGCTTTGTTCCTTGGCTGATGGCTAAAATAAATGAAAACAACATTTGCCGAAATGCCACACCAATACTCCCACTACCAAATCACCATCACCATCGAAACCCCATTATCATCACCATCACCATCATCACCACCACCACCACCACCACCACCACCACCACCACCATTGCCACCACAATTCCAAATGCTTTAGTTCTT